ACTGCGTGGAGTGAAAAGAAAACGTCTTTTTAATATTGGTGCGTACCAACATGCCAAAAAGATTGCCATACAAAATGCACAGGCCGAACAATCCAGAGCTGTTGAGTCCCTTAGAAATTGTCTTGTTGAGAAGGAAGGTGAGTTGGAAAAGCTCACGAAATTACTGGATGCTAGCACAAAGAAAATAGAGAGAAAGAAGAGAAAGGTAAGAGGTTTTCAATTGCATAATTTGTATATTATATCAGCAAGTTTGTAGTGGCAGGATATCTTAGGAAGCTTTACTGAGCTTTTCAACTAAAATTATTTTTGATTACTCAAATATTTCAGAAGTATAGGTATTCATAAAATAAAGCCACATTTCAGTTTTCAATTGAATAATTTCAGAATTTTGTTTTGTATGATGCATTTAATGTGCTTTGTGGGGTTACTATGCAGATGGAGTAATTTGCAGGTGTATGTTCATGTACAGCTGTAGGTTTAGCTCTAACGCAGTAAATAATACCGGTTTACAGAGTCACACCTCCAGCAATTTGCACCGTTCAGATTAGGTGTATACTTAATGAGTGATGTTAGTGAGATTACACAGACTGTATTTTTAGGTACAGGTAGTGGTAATATTATGTTTAGAGAGTTATGTTAGTGAGTTAGTTAGGGAATTTTCTTTTAAAAGCTCGCAGAAATTGAGAACATTACACATCAGTGTGAACACCCAAGCATACCAGGAAAAATGGAAAGGAGGCCATCTGTGATCAGTAAAATCAATCCAGCTAATAGTGAAACACTGAGTTTGTCAGCAAGCCAGTTCAGGCGACGAAGACAAAACAGTTGAGGCTGTGAAAGCAATCCACTATGACAGTCATGTTTACACTTCTGAGAAAGAACAAACAAAATCAATAAAAGATGGCCTTTGGACAACCTTGATTACCTCAGCAGAAACTGGAGAGATGAGAGAGTATATATCCAATTCCAAGAAATGCATGGATTCAGTTGTTCCAGGCATTTTGAACAGAAAGGTCAAAGAATATGAAAAGAGCCAAGCAAACAAAATTAGAAGCATGCGAGTACTTTATGAAAGTCGGCTGCTTGGAAAGAGAAAATACACCAGCATAAGAAATAGTTCTGATGTCTTGAATGAGTCAGGGGGGAAAAAGAGAAAAAATCAGAAAACAGAAATTATTCCAGGGGTTGAAGTGCCAAAAATTTTACCCTATAAAAATCTGATGTCGTTTTTGAAAACTATTGATGTCGGAGAACTGAGAGATTTACAAACACTAGCCACAGAGCTATCTACAGAAAGTGTTCCTGGTGTTTACAGACCACTTAAACCATATCTCCTGAAGCTAGCTAATCTGTATATGGATCTTCATAAACAAATCCCCATGCTTCATTGGTTTCATGGTGAAGAGGGACTATTCTGGGTTGCTATAGGGGCAGATGGTGCACCATTAGGTGAAGATGATTGCGCCACTGGTAAGCTTGTTTAGTTAGTTTAGATTAGCATGAATGGCCCGTTTATGTAAACTCACTGCAAGAAACTTTTGAATTGCCAGTATATCTTTTAGAGCTTAGTTGTACCTCAGGATACTGTGAACTATCTTTCACATGCATTTCATTGTAAACAAAGAAGAGCCCATATTAATGATATTAATATTCTTAATTTATTACTTTTTTAAATCACTTGGGGAAAGCATAACATAGTTCTGGTGGTGACCACTTCTACTGTACTGATCTTGATCTGTTATGTTCTTATAATCATCCTTGCAGCCTACTTAGTCAGTTTCCTAAACCTGCTAAATCGAGTCCAGAGTTGCAACGAAAATCACTTGCTGCTGGGGGCCAACTTTAAAGAGGACCACCCTTTAATGAAAGCTTACACCCAACACCTTACAAAAGAAATGGAGGAAGTGGAAAATAAAGTGTTGACCACTGAGAAGGGATATCAAGTAAGATTTGCCATCAAATTAATTCCTTCAGACATGAAGTGGGCCTCCTCTTTCTCAGGAGAGTTGAACAATGCGGCAACTTATTTTTCCCCATTTGCAAATGTCTCACAAGGCAACAAGCACACCATGTTTGGCTCTATAGGAGGTTCAGATGCAACCTGGCAGCCATGGAGTTATGAAAAGAGATTAGAGGTGGCAAGAAAAGTTCAAAATTTTAAAAAGCGCCTAAAAGATCCAGACAAGAAGCAGAGGGGTGAGGTAACAAAATTCATAGCACAAAACAAATCCAGGTAGAGTATTTTTTGATGCTGTGCAGCTAATTTTGCTCTTATTTAAAATTTTTAAAAGCAGTTTTATTTTTTTAAAATTTTTTTTTGGTCTATTCTAAGGCTGCGTTCCTTTGGGGTGATCCGGATCAAGATCAGTGATCCAAGATCTGTCTGAATCATGGTGCACAAAAGGAACTGGTGAATCCATAACCGAAGTGGATTCGCCAGTTCTGTTGATGTACCATGATCCAGACAGATTTTGGATCACTGATCCAGATCTGGATCACCCCAAAGGAATGCAGCCTAAATCTTACATTTACTTTAGGGGAGCAGGGATGGCGCAGTGGTGAGAGCGCTCACCTCCCACCAATGTGTCCCGGGTTCGATTCCGAGGGTTTTCTCCGGATTCTCCGGTTTTCCTCCTTCCTCAAAAATCAACATTTCTAAATTCCAATTCGATCGGGAATTTGAGGGCCACGGGTTTGTCAGTCGAAGACTGTTATGTGCTACCCTCATTAAACAAAGTCGATTATTACTTTACCTTACCTTTCCAGGCAGGAGTTTGTACCACCCCTTGGAAAATTTGTTAGCTTGGTAAAGCCTGATCCATTGCACAGCATCAACAATGGTTGGCAACAGTGGTTTACCCATTGTTTGACTGTTGCCATGCAATCCTAATCAATTGAAGGCTGCAGTAGTTTTATCAGATTTGCCAACTTCCTGCCCTCTAGTCACGTTCTGTAATTGTGTAAAAGAACGCATGAAGTGTGGACGTCTGTACAAAAACTTTTGCCGTTGGTTTTCTGAGAAACGAAAGAAAGGGCTTCAATTCAGTTATCGTTTTACAGGTTTGGAGTCCAAGAGATTTTGTTGGAACTTTGGGCTCCTAATTGAAGTTCTCTTAGGCATCGCCAGTATTTCAAGTTCAATCAAAGTAAAACTGCATGCCTTAGCTTTTTCGGCTTTACAACCACGAGACAGTGGGTCACTGTTTTCAAGGGTGGAAATTAGTAGAGAACAGTTGGTAGAGCTTGAAAGCAACTGCCAACTGTATTTTAATACTCATGCCCTTTTGCTTGATGGCATTAACCCCACAACTTGGACAATTGGATATGCCATCCCCTACAGCACCCAACAACTGTTTAAGGAGAGTGGGTTTGGACTTGGATTAAATTCCATGCAGGGGAGAGAAGCCAAACATATTAAACTAGCGGCGTATGTACAAAACACTTGTAACATAAACAAAAACCAGAGGTGGTGGATCGTTTTTAGGCATGAATATGTCTCTATGGTGGGGCTTCGAGAATTAGATCCCCACAGCATTACCTACCGCCCATAAAAAAAGAAAGCTTGTGACTCGTACATCCCTAAGAAGATAGCAGAAAAAAATGTATTGCACTGCCACTGTGGACTGCTAAAGTCAAATTCTGGTGATGACGAATGTCCACTTTGCATGAGCAGCACAATGAAGCTGGTGAAAGAGGCTGCTAGGAAGGGAAAAATTTCCCCTGCTTTAAAGACCCTGTTTGACACTGTTTAAAAATGGGTTTTGGACTAAGTTCTATGCAGGTCAGAGAAACCAAACACATTAAGCTTGTACAAGTTTAGTTTGAAAACCAAAGGAAGGGCCAGTGCTTATGATCAAAAACAGGCTGGAACAGCAGCATAGATTGTAAAAGGAAAAATTGCTTAACAGCTTAAATTCAAAACTGTTGCTCCTAATAGATAGCTTTTTTTATTTGTTTGGTTTGAAAAACAAGGAAAGCGCTGGTGCATTATACCAGCTTGCTGTGATATTGTAAGGGCTGCCCCATGTAGAATAAACAGTGGGCATAAACGTGAATAATCAGCCTGGTCTTAGCATCTTTCATTGAAACCAAGCAGTAAATTCAACAAACGTCTGACCAAAACAGACTGGAACGGCAACATACTGTAGATCGTAAAAGGAAAAATTGCTTATAATAACAGCTTAAATTCTAAACTGTTGCTCCTAATAGATAGCATTTTTTATTTGTTTGGTTTGACAAGCAAGGAGAGGGCCGGTGCATTTTACCAGCTTGCTGTGATATTGTAAGGGCTGCCCCATGTAGAATAAACAGTGGGCATAAACTTGAATAATCAGCCTGGTCTTAGCATCTGTCATTAAAACCGCGCAGTAAATTCAACAAAAGTCTGATCAAAACAGACTGGAACAGCAACATACAGTAGATTGTAAAAGGAAAGATTGGCAACAAGACTCTTTCTGGACGTACATTTTTTTTATTTTTTCTTCACAAGAATTTAACAATATGGGCCTATTGGACACTGGGGCCATAAAGTTACAAATTGTTCAATGCTTAGTTTTTTGCTCAAATGTTTAAACCACAGAACATTAATTTTTTATCATGAATCCTGGTTATGGATCTTCTGTTGTCTAAGTGCAAAGTTGTCAACCATAAATAAGACTTTTCTTAACAAGGGAACATATGGATATTAGAACATAAAATCTGCTCATTTTTATAACTGACAAATTATATTGTTGTGACTGTACCTCTTAGTAAAACATCCCAGTAAAGTGTAATAAATTTAAACAACAACTTGGTGGCATCGTGACTGTAATTAGGACTTTTTGCCACTGCCTGACAAACAGATAATCAACATCAATATCAAGTGCTTGCCGAAAATTCCAAGATTATCGTACCTTGTAAACTAAACATGACCTACTCAGAAAATCTAACAGTGAAAGTGCAAACTCTACAATGAAACCCTCTGGGAAGGAGAAAGAGATGGAAATGAGTCAAAGAACAGCTGGCTCTGCCATGAGGTAAGTCAGAAGACCATCCAGAGCTATAATTATGTACCTATCAATGTCAAGCCGGTGAGGGGGGGGGGGGGGGAAATTCAGTTATATTTGACCTCACATTTTTGCCCGGGGATATGGAATTTGACAGCAATTCTTTGGAAAATGTCAAATCCCTACCCTATGCCCCATGTACCCCCCCCCTTGCTGGCTTGCCATTGATAGGTGCATTATGTTATGTTATTTTTAAAACAGTTTTAATAAATGTGGAAGATCCCTACCAGTTCTAGCATTCCAAAATTCCATGCCATTGTCATTTATGTAACAGGGTTCGTGCTACTCCTTAAACTCCTTGAAAACTACTTGAATATATTTTACAAATTTAAGGGCGCTTGAAAACTCCTCAAAAATGAGAAATTTAAAAAAACTCCTTGAATTTTTTACTTAAATACGCATTGAATGTGAAAAAATATATTGGAAACAATAAAAGAGAAAAAAATATAGAAAGTTATCTGGTTCAAGAGCGCCTTGGCAAAAAAATTTTTAAAACTAAACTAGTGAGCAGCACTCTGCGAACTGTTGCTGTAAAACTTGTTTATTCTCCTACGCGTTTCGTCTAACTAACGTAGACTTCTTCAGGGAGTTTTACAATCAAATACTAAACGCCTGTATTTAAGCCATAATATGACTAAAAATAATGATGGTCGCAAACATTTAGCTAAAACCGTGGCCCCAAAGTATTCTTACGCCTTGCGTAAAAAATTTCACAGCTGCGCCTGTTCCTTTTCGTAAATCCGGCCAAACCTTCAATGTTTGCGACCATCATTATTTTTAGTCATATTATGGCTTAAATACAGGTGTTTAGTATTTGATTGTAAAACTCCCTGAAGAAGTCTACGTTAGACGAAACGCATAGGAGAATAAACAAGTTTTACAGCAACAGTTCGCAGAGTGCTGCTCACTAGTTTAGTTTTAAAGATTGTCATGTCAATACTAGTAGAAGCCACATGGTGAACGCAACTGGAAATATTTGCTCAGGACCAAAACGCCCTCGACCTTCAGACTCGTCGGATCCAGAGCCAAATCCAGTGTATAGCTCTACCAGCAGCCTAGACTCCACTATCGAAACTGTCCTTAGAAAGGCAGTCGCATGCGAGTTGATGCCGATAAAGCCCACTCCAGTCTCATTGGCAGGATTAAACTGCTGGAGGAACACGCAGCTCAAAGCACTTCTCCATCTGGCCTCAGGATAAAAAAAGTCTAAGCAAAAGGTCAAAACGTGGATGCACTTCAAGCCAAATTTGACGGCATTATCCGCGAGGCAGAAGTACAATTGCTGGAGGCTACAACTGATCATCTACGCTCCGAGGTTAAGGTTAAGGCAATCCATGCTACTACTGCCAATATAGATGGTACTATTGCGCGCTGGAAGGAACAGCTTCTGAAGAACGATATCTCGAACGCAAAAGCGACCAGTCTCGTAGAGGCCGCCGTAGCATTTGTGGAGAAGTTATCCAAAGATACTGCGGTCTCGCGGGCTTCCAAAGCCCTCCAAGCGGAGATAAGCCGAACGGCAAAAAACAGAAGTCAGGCAATGATGGACGATAGCGAGGTTTTCGTTCCCTCGGAAGAGTCTATTAGAGATATTATTAGAAATGAGCTCCGCGGTCTTACTTCAGGCACTTCAAGCCCTAACGAGGAAAACCGGCAGCGGAAAGTTTCCATATCCGAAAGAAGGAATAATGGCAAGTCGAAAGGCAAGTCACGTCGAAGTAGATCCACAAGTTGCGGTCAAGCCCAGCAACGCCAAAGGTCAGCCTCTGGCAAACGGTCTAACCGACCTCAAAAGTGGTCAAAAAATTCCCGAGGAAAAGGTTCAGGCCACGTAAAATAGACAGGCGCTCGGCGCACGAAAAATGGTTATTCAAGATGGCTAAACGACCCCTATACGACTTGTTTCCACGGAATTCGGAAATTCATAATTTTACCTCTCTCAAGCTTACTGAGTGGCAAGCTAGAGTTCTGGGCATGGGTCTAAAGTTTAGACCCTCGCTTCTACCCCCTAGCGAAGCTCAGTTTGACTTACAAATCCAAGACTTCTGTCGAAGAGTTCGCCTTCAGGATAAATTCGCCAACTGCCCGCCAGACAAGGACTTCAATCCCAGATTGTACGTTCCAACAGGCTGGAATCCGCTGCGGCAAAATCCCGATATTGAAGACAAACTCTTCGTGTTACGCAAAGAGCTGCTTAAAAACATTGTGGCTGGCAAACCGCATTGGAAGAACAACCTCACAAAGCACGAGCGAGAGGAACTTAGCGAGCTGAAATCCAACCCTAATATTAAAATTTTGCCTACCGACAAAAATCTGGGGCCGGCTCTTGTTTCCACGGATTGGGTTCAAGCTGAGACACTAAGACATTTGCATGACGAGTTGTCATATCATAAAGTCACGCAACAGGACTGGTATGCTAATCGTCTTAATGTAATTAATTCTCGCGAAAAGCTTATGACAATTCCTAGCGTAGCTCGATTTTTGCGTAGCTTTGATCATTTTGTTAGTCCGGCTAAGTTTTATGTTATCCCTAAGATACACAAAAACTCTATGGTGGGGAGACCTATTGCCGCTTCCCATTTGTTTATTACTAGGCCTATCAGTACTTTTGTTGATGAGCTTATTAAGCCTAAAGTACACATGCCTACGGTACTTAGGGACTCGGGTGAGCTGATTCAACTGCTGGAAAATACGGTCTTGCCCGATGGAGATTGTTTCCTTGTCACTGCGGATGTCGCATCGCTTTATCCGAAGGTTGACACTAAGAAGGCGCTTATAGCCCTTGACCTGCTCCTTCGTGAAGCAGGGGCTCCGGAGACCCCACTTTTGATTCAGCTCGCCCGGCTTGTTTTTGAAAACAATTATTTATCTTCGGAATTTTGTCCGGATATTTTTCATCAAAAGTTTGGGATTGCTATGGGCACTCCTTTTTCTGTCACAGTGGCAAACGCGTTTATGTATCATCACGAAAAGGATATTGTAGATCATTATTCCCAATATCTTATCTTATACAAGCGTTTCATTGATGACATTTTTGCTATTTGGTGCGGGCCTAAGGACACCCTGCTAGAATTTTTGGGCGCTCTCAGCAGCAAAGATCAACGTATTCAGCTTACTCATTGTATTAGCGAGCTTAGCATTTCTTTTCTTGATCTATTTCTCTATAGAGATGGGTCTTCAAGCGTGCTACAGTTTTCCACTTTTCAGAAGCCCCTTAACAAATACCTATATATACCCTTCGAGTCGTTTCATCCTTCTAGCAATAAGAAAGCCTTTATTAAAGGGGAATTAATGAGGTATGCTAGAAACAGTTCTTCCTTTAAATCTTTTTCGGAGACTAGGGATAGATTCTGGAAGTGGCTACGGTTAAGAGGGTATCCATTTGCATTTTTGCTACCACTATTTCGCGAAATACGATACAGCGACAGAAAGAAGTGGCTTTTGCAGAAAGCTAAGAATATGTCTCAGCGGCCTACTGTATGCAAGACTACTTTTAATTGCAGTCACGCACGTATTAGGAATGTAATCAACAGGATTATGCCAGAAATAGACTCTACCGTATGTTACAAAGCTACTGTAACATTAGCTAATCTTTGCAAGTAAGTTTTTTGGGGCCACGGTTTTAGCTAAAACCGTGGCCCCAAAGTATTCTTACGCCTTGCGTAAAAAATTTCACAGCTGCGCCTGTTCCTTTTCGTAAATCCGGCCAAACCTTCAATGTTTGCGACCATCATTATTTTTAGTCATATTATGGCTTAAATACAGGCGTTTAGTATTTGATTGTAAAACTTCCTGAAGAAGTCTACGTTAGTTAGACGAAACGCGTAGGAGAATAAACAAGTTTTACAGCAACAGTTCGCAGAGTGCTGCTCACTAGTTTAGTTTTAAGAATTTTAAAAATTTTAAAAATTTGAAATTTAAAATTTAAAAAAAAAAAAGCGCTGGTGCATTATACCAGCTTGCTGTGATATTGTAAGGGCTGCCCCATGTAGAATAAACAGTGGGTATAAACTTGAATAATCAGCCTGGTCTTAGCATCTTTCATTGAAACCAAGCAGTAAATTCAACAAACGTCTGACCAAAACAGACTGGAACGGCAACATACTGTAGATTGTAAAAGGAAAAATTGCTTATAATAACAGCTTAAATTCTAAACTGTTGCTCCTAATAGATAGCATTTTTTATTTGTTTGGTTTGACAAGCAAGGAGAGGGCTGGTGCATTTTACCAGCTTGCTGTGATATTGTAAGGGCTGCCATGTAGAATAAACAGTGGGCATAAACTTAAATAATCAGCCTGGTCTTAGCATCTGTCATTAAAACCACGCAGTAAATTCAACAAAAGTCTGATCAAAACAGACTGGAACAGCAACATACAGTAGATTGTAAAAGGAAAGATTGGCAACAAGACTCTTTCTGGACGTACATTTTTTTATTTTTTCTTCACAAGAATTTAACAATATGGGCCTATTGGACACTGGGGCCATAAAGTTACAAATTGTTCAATACTTAGTTTTTTGTTCAAATGTTTAAACCACAGAACATTAATTTTTTATCATGAATCCTGGTTATGGATCTTCTGTTGTCTAAGTGCAAAGTTGTCAACCATAAATAAGACTTTTCTTAACAAGGGAACATATGGATATTAGAACATAAAATCTGCTCATTTTTATAACTGACAAATTATATTGTTGTGACTGTACCTCTTAGTAAAACATCCCAGTAAAGTGTAATAAATTTAAAAAACAACATGGTGGCATCATGACTGTAATTAGGACTTTTTGCCACTGCCTGACAAACAGATAATCAACATCAATATCAAGCGCTTGCCGAAAATTCCAAGATTATCGTACCTTGTAAACTAAACATGACCTACTCAGAAAATCTAACAGTGAAAGTGCAAACTCTACAATGAAACCCTCTGGGAAGGAGAAAGAGATGGAAATGAGTCAAAGAACAGCTGGCTCTGCCATGAGGTAAGTCAGAAGACCATCCAGAGCTATAATTATGTACCTATCAATGTCAAGCCGGTGAGGGGGGGGGAAGGGAATTTCAGTTATATTTGACCTCACATTTTTGCCCGGGGGTAGGGAATTTGACAGCAATTCTTTGGAAAATGTCAAATCCCTACCCTATGCCCCATGTACTCCCCCCTTGCTGGCTTGCCATTGATAGGTGCATTATGTTATGTTATTTTTAATACAGTTTTAATGAATGTGGAAGATCCCTACCAGTTCTAGCATTCCAAAATTCCATGCCATTGTCATTTATGTAACAGGGTTCGTGCTACTCCTTAAACTCCTTGAAAACTACTTGAATATATTTTGCAAATTTAAGGGCGCTTGAAAACTCCTCAAAAATGAGAAGTTTAAAAAAACTAGAAAAAAAAATATAGAAAGTTATCTGGTTCAAGAGCGCCTTGGCAAAAAAATGTGCCGCCATTATTGCAAACAAACGCTTAGAAAAGCTTTATTCTTCTTCGTTGGATTTCCTGTGGCAAAAACGCCGAAAAGTACTGGTTCTATAAGTATATGTTAACATTAATTTCAAGGAAGATGTAAATGCTCATATGATCTTTATTACTGGTTGTTTGCAATAAACATTTGTTATTACCAACACATTTTAGCTACTGTGTGTAAATGATTTTCAGAATTCTGAATGACTTACGTTTTTTGATAGCAAAAATAACTACTTGAAAGTCAAATTTAAGTCCTTAAATACTGCTTAAAAAGTCCTTAAATTTAACTCTGAAATTCCTGCACGAACCCTGAGTAAACAAAACAGTACTTTTTTAGCTTTACCTCTTACGAGCCAAAAATTAATGTTGTGGCACTCCATGCTTATTCCAAAAGCCATAATAGAAATTAACTGAGAGCACTTCTGAATTTTTGTTGTATCTGAATTTTAGTGGTTTGCTGTTGTCAACAATAACCTATCATCTCCCATTATTCTTGGTAGGTTTCTTTTTCAGCAGATCATCCTTGGCTATAAGTTCACCCTCAATGTTCATTTTGTCAAAGATAAAAACAGCTTTATTTATTCGTGTTACTTCCACATTAACCACAGCTGTAGTCTCCGTGTACTGATGCCCGTAACTGTTTCTTTGTACAATATGTTTTAAAAGAACATCAAAAACCTCTCGTGGAATGTCGAGGGAAAATTCACCGTTCCAAGGGTTTGTTAGATTGGGTGTTGGTCGAAGTCTACTGACAATCTTCGTATGGATTTTCTTTAGAGCATTAATAACTATTCTTTGGGTCCCAACAAGTTGTTGAATTTCTTTGTTCCTCGATTGACCCACATATTTTTTCTCCAACATTCCTACTGCCGTCTCTACTTCATGATAAAATCTGGATATGGAGTGCATCGTAGCCGTACTTTCCGTTTGAGATAGATAATCGTGTTTTTTTTCTGCGAAGAAAGCTGCTAATTTCCCGAGAAGGTGGGTTTCTTTCGAATAGTTGCGCCATGTTGGTTTTTACCCATGACACACCGCGCGCCTCTGATGACCGATTTGAGGGGTGGTTTGGCCTTGGCGTGGTTCTAACTGATTTCACCACTGTGGCATTTATAATGTCTCGCGTATCTAAGATAAGCAAGTCCCCACTCTGGTCTAAGAAAGGGTTACCCATCTCACTAATTACATTGGAAAGTGATTGGACCTCACTTTGGAAAGTACTTTGAACTCCTCGTTTCTTCGTGGTGTCGATGCTTTCTATCATCAGATGCTGATTTTAGTAGTTCCTGGGAAACCTCGAATTCGTTAATGATTTTAGACATTTCTGGCCCTGACACCATCCAATGCATTAATTGAGTTGGGCTCTCTGTAAGGCCAATGGCACCACCATCCCCTTTCACGATCTTATCATTCTGTTCATGGGCGTGGTCAATGGGTAGTGCAGAAAATGACCGGTTTGTCTTTTTCACCACGAAATGGCCTTTCCTGAATTGTGCAGCCAAATTGGGTAGTTTCGTGTCCAGGGACTCCATGTCGTGAATGTGGACAGGCAGCCACCTAGCATAGTTTGTGCGGTCTAATGCAAAAAAATAGGGTGCAAGTCTTTTACATGACTCTTTGTATAGTTCGAAGTTCCCCTAAATATTAAAATATATTAATATGGTGAGCTCAAAGTGAAGGGTGAGAGACCAGTACTGGAACTGAGGACTAGCCAGCTCTGCTTGCTTGCGCCACTCCATAAACGTTTTGGGTTCTTCTTCTTCCGAGATGCAATTGCAGTAGTGCTGGTATGCCTTGTCCATCAGTATGTACAAAGCACAAGCAGTAATCTGGTGGGTGTGTCGGGTGCGTGAAACTTGTGCCTCCTCGAGAAAGGAGTCGGCTGTTCCAGGAGTTGTTATGCCCGCTTGCATTAGGGCGCTTGTCCAACCACTATGCTGAATCCAGGTCCCCAATGCCTTAAGAGCGGCAAGCTCAGTATGCAGCCCTCCAAACATCATAACTATGCTACTTTCTGCATACGTGGATGGCCAGTTCCACTGAATCTTCTTTGCCATCGCATACATTGGCTGATCACAAGCAAGCACAGGTGTCTGCCCAGGATTAAGATAAGTGACCGCCTTAACAACTACGTCCATTGTATGACAAATCATAGCTGGGGAGGCAGCCTCCTCTTGAAAGAGCAGGAGCAGCGAGGTCGTATCCAATTGACCTGGAGGCTGGACTTGATTTGCGTGATATGCTGCCCATGAAACTTTCTTTATCTCTTCCGTTGTCTTTGTTAACCTCGTCTCTTACATGTTCCAGCCATTTACACTCCATACTTAAAGCTTGTGTCATTTCAAGGTAATTGCTTACAAATGACACTTGAAGAGGCGGCACAATGGGTTCATTCTTGGGGAGAATGACGGGCTTAACAAGTGTGTAAGAATCCGGAAGTTGAGAAAGACGCTTTCTCTTGGAGGGCTGATTGTCTATGCTAACTACATCCCGCGCTTCACCTGATGAATCATGAGATGGGTGTTGGAATAAAGATATACCTGTTTCATGGAAAGCACCTTGAGTGGTTGTAGATGACTGGTTATGGTCAATGTTATCCATGGCAGCTGTTGTAAATGATCCTTTATTAAGCTTGGGCGGGAAAACAACCCCTTCAGACTCAAACCGTGAACAAACAGTATTGCCCAAGTCAGTAGATAATTCTAGCACCCTGTCATACGAAATTGACAGTCCAAGACTATAGAGTTTATCGACCAGTGTTCTCTTTCTTGCTTCTGCATGAGTCATGAGGCCAAGATATATTGGCAGTGGTGGTTCGCGATCTCGAGAGTGATAATAAGCTGAACCAGTTGCTTCACTACAACGACGCCGTATGCTGGTATTAAAAAGCATGAGTTGTGATATACTTAGTGTAGGCTGCCCATCACTCACACGACTAGACGGAGTTTTGATATCTGTTGCCTCTAAGATCAATCCTATTAACGTTTTAAGGGACTGTGGAATTGATTCTTGTTGAGAATCTTTATCAAATGTTCCACTGAATTGCGTTTTCGTGGCTATTATATCTCGACGAATGATCTTGCTTGCTTTAAGTAGGATTATTGCTTCATCATCAAAATCCCTAAAGCGAGTCACTTCGAGCGCTTTACCAGCATCTTCACTGAATGCCATCACTATGTCTCGGCCTTTCTTGTTCGTCTGCAAGCCTGGAACATTTGCTAAAATTCTCTCCTTTAGGTCAGTGGAGTGTACTCTACGCGACAAATCGCTACCATAGTGTTTCAAGAAACGGGTGTACATGGCTGTAAGCTCTGCTAGCGTAAACACGGAAATGCTATCCGCAGACTCCACAGGAGTTTCTTCAAGATAAGCGACGAGCTCTGCTAGAGCCATACCCTGGATTACCTTCTAATCACTGCTTGCAGGATTCTGATTTAATCTCTCTGCCTTGTTATAGAGCAACACCAGGCACTTTGCATGATACACGGGTTCCTGAGAGATCAAATAGCCGGCACTTAGTTTTGCGATTAGGACCTCATCTTGCAACTGATGTGCACACTCTCGCACCCTTGCATGTAGATTAAAAGTGGACGCTTGATGAAGTTTACCTGTGGCACCGAAGCAGAAAAAACAGCTTACTTCTTTAGTCATCGAAGATGCTGCACGAGAGCTTTGTCTAGTGAATTTAGACTTTACTTGAGAACTTGGAAAATCATCTTGAATTTTCCTTTTTTGTACTCTTTTTAGCTTCATGTCACTAAATATGTTTCTACACGTTTTATGCCATTTCGCTTTACGCTTCATCAATGTTGCTGGTATGCCAACACCTTCATCCAACTTTTCTATATCTAAAGATATTGGCATAAACCCTAGCTCATTGAATTTGTGAATACTTTCCGCCAGAGAATTATATCCTGTCCCATATTCGATATCTGATCTGCGAGAATTCCTCAGACATTCCTCCTTCGTTGTTTCTTGACACAAAATACATTTTTCCCAGTCCAAGGAAACAGTATCTTCGTCTTGTTTGGCCATCGAGGATATGTCAGACCCAAATACAATAACAATAAGTACGCACACCAGAAGAATCATGTTACGTTGGTCTGTATGATCAAAGCAAAGAAAACGCTGATCAAGGAAAGGTACAGAGCGACAAAAGGAGTCTTCGAATAAGATTTAATTGTACTTATAAGTACAACGAAAATGGTTTTACCTCAATTCATTTTAAGACTGAAGTAAACTGAAGCCGAACTGCCACAAGATCATTTCCTGCACGACGTATTTATTGTCTTGTCAAAATTGTTTCGGCTCGCACCTGAAATAAGATTCTGTTAAACAAATTTAGTAGGATATTGTTTTTCTTACCTCCATTCTAGCACTGTGAAGAAAATACGTTGTAAGGAGCTCGAGAATCCTGAAAAATTAGCTTGTTCTTAACCAAACCAGAGGTTTGAGAACTGTAAGTTCACTGTGAGGATGGTAACCAGGCTTGCAAGGTA